TGCTCTGGGTTAGTTAAACCCATGGGGACCCTTCCCTTTGGTCCCCTCTCCGTGCTCCAGGGAATGCAGGGGGTCAGGAAAATGGGCATTTTCTCCCAATGTTTCTCTTCCACTGGCTCCAGAGGTGGATGGGGCGCTATCCCTGCTGCCTGGGAAAGCTGCTTCCCTCCCCTTCAGCTCTGGGAAGACTCCCATCTCCACACCACAGCCCTGGGGTTCGGTGTGTGGTCTAAACTTCAGCAGGGGCTTGGAACCAGATGGTCTTTGAGGACCCTTCCAACCCAGAGCATTCCCTGATCCTGTGATCCCAGCTCACCCAACCCCTGATCCTCATGAAGGGCTGCTCTGACCATGCCTGGTGGGGTTGCAGGATGTTCCTTCTCCAAAGGCACCAGTCACAGGAGTGGGAGCATGTCCTGTTATCCCACCTTTCTGATCCCTACCTGGTCACAGCTCCCATTCCACTGATGGGACACCTTCCTTTTGCCTCCTGTGCTCAATTCCCTCCTGGAGGAGCGGTGACAACACGTGAGGTGAATTGTACCCTCCTCCAGAGAATAAATGGGGGGAGGACACTTGGGGCAGCACTTCCAAACCGACAAACCCCAGGGTGTTTGGCTATCCCTGTAAATTGGGCTAAGAAGCCCAAATGGAACGGAGCTGGTTGTGTTTTGCTGCTGCTGGAGCCGTTTGGAGGCATCAGGAGGTTTTGCAGAGGGAATGCTGAGATGGATGTGGGGTGTCCTGCTTGTCCTTGCTCTCCCTGGGGATCACAGCCCCTTTATCCCAATATCCTTAAAGGGTTTGGGATCAGAAGCGGAGCCCCCCATGCCATGGGGAGGGTTTGTAGGGGGGAAGCTTGGACAGAGATATTTTTAATTAGGATTTTTAATAGGGAAATGCGGTGCTCGGGCTCGTTTTTATTCTGAATTTGACTGGAAATAAGAAATGCTGGAGTTTCCATGACCTTTTATTTATTTTTTTTTTAAACATTAAAAAATCAGGGATCTGGGCAATCCACACCATGAGGGAGCATGTCAGGAGACCATGGAGCGGCCCATGTGCTCTGTTTTTAGGATGGGGAGAAAAGGAATCGACTCTTTGCTGTGTGCAAAGGCAAAACCTTTTGCAAGGTCGGAGCAGCAGCAGGATTTTATGGAAGTCCTCTCTTCTTTGTGCTGCCTTTCCAATTTTTTTTTTTCTTTTGTGCTGTGTTTTCCCTTTGTTCCTGCTCCCAGTACCTGCACAGCCTCTTGCCCACGAACCTTCTGATCCCTCTCCAGAAACATCAGGGTTTCCAAGCCCTCTGGAGTGCGGGCTCCGTGTCTGATGCCGGGGAGAGGCAGACATCCAGGATAACGTGGCAACAGGACAAGGCTGGGATGAACACCCTGGAAATGCTGGAAGAATTAGTGCGTGCACAGGTTGAGGTGTTGCTTTGGATGCTTCCTGACACATCCAAACTGCTGGTGGGGCCAAATTCATTCCTGCAAACATCTCCTCGCTCGTTGTGCCTTCGTTGGGTCGGGCTGGTGTGAGGCTGGAGGGGATGCAGGTGGCTGATCCCGAAGTTTTCCTCCTGGAAGGGAGGAATGTAATGCTCCCTTCCCTCTTTGCTGTGCTGGTGTGCCAGGTGGGAGCGAGGGGCCTGAAAATCGTGGATGGTAAAAGGCAGGGAGTGATTCTGGTGCTTGGAGTGGGAAGGCTGGGCTGGCACCAGGGAGGGTAACCCCACGGAAAACATCATCCCTTTCCATCCCAACCATGAAACTAAGCCTATTCCACGCATGGAAAACCTGTGTGGGAGCTCAGTGAATTCCCTTGAATTCCCTCTCCTCCTTGCTGTGGTTTAAGGACGGGGCTGGGGAATTCTCCAGCTAGGACTGGGGGCAGCTTGCTGTCACATGGAGCTGGGGCTGAGACACTGAGAAGGAATTTTCTGCCTTAGGAAAACCGTAAATCTTTAAATATCCTTTTTCCACGGCGAGGCAGATTCGGAAGGTTCCAGCCAGGCTCGCTGGGTGGTGGTGTCTCCCTCAGCGCAGGGTGAGCCTGTGTGTGCAGCGCAAATAAATGCCCTTGGACAGACCAAATCCCCAGATTTGGCTCTTTTGGGAGGCATCACAGTGTGGAAAAAACTGGGGGCTCTTTCCAACATCCCCAAAAAGTCCTGGCACTGCGGGGAGTCGCCGTGGCCGAGCGCCCGCCACGCTGCGCCTGGGCGCTGACAAAGCCGAGCATCCCCTTGGAGATGATGTTGCCTCTTGGCAGCGCTGGAACGACTCTTTTTTTTAATTATTTTTGCCCCGATTCCCGCCGGCTCTGCGCGGTGTCGCTCCCGCAGCCGAGGCGCTCGGCTCGGCCTCACTAGAGGGCGCAGGAATTGTAGGCTGAGCGAAACGCGCGGGGGTTCGTCGGGGAAGTTGGCTGCCTCTCCCTCCTTTTTAATCAACTGGAAAGATGCAGGGTTGAACTGGAGGTGACTGGAAGGGGATCCAGACTTGTGTCTGGCTGGGGAAGGATCTGCTGACATGTGGGATTAGGCGGCGTGGAGCGCGGCGGCGGCGAGCGGGCGGCACGTCGAGCGTGGCCGGGAGCTGCGGGCTCGGGCAGACGTGGGGTGCAGCCAGCTGGAGGAGCCTCACGGCAAGAGGAGAGCTCGGAAAAGAGCAAGAAAAGGGGGGGAAAATCCGCCTCAGCCTCTCAGTGTGAAATACTTCCCCCTTTTTCAGGCTCTGGGCAGGTGTTGTGTTGACCTCAGTAGGGGCTCGGTCTTCTCTTCCTGAGGGTCCTCTGCTCTGTGTTCTCGCTGCACATCCATCCTTGGGGCAGAGTCTTTCCTCTTCGGAGGGTCTGGAGGGTGTGGATCCATCCCTGGGATGGTTCCCTACACCACGGCAGCAGTTTTGCAGATTGGGACCAGAGGCTTGTTGTCCTGTTTTTCAGGGTGCAGGGGGTCCCCGAGCACTTTGCCTGTGGCAGAGCCAGGAAGGACGAGGTCAGGAACCCCAAGGGCCACCTGCATCGGGCTGGTGGCCCCACTGCAGCCTTGGCACTCTCGGAGCACAGGCTGCTCCCTCTTTAAGTGGGGAAACTGAGTCACGGGAAGCATTTGGAGGAGCGGGGGGTGATTCACTGGGAGCCTCTGCCCCTATCCCAAGCTCCTCAGCAGGGTTAAAGGGCAGTGCCAGCTGGATGGGGAGATACCCATATCCTTTCACCAGTCCCTCTCAGCTGCTCTGTCCCAGCTCTCCAAATCCCGGTGTTCCTGCTCCCCTCCGCCAGCATCCATCCCTTTCCCAGCTCCCTCCCAGGACGGAGCGGCTCCGCTTCAGCACCTTCCAGCTCTCCTTTCCCGAGCGGCTGCTTTTTCCAGCGGCTCAGCCTGAGCAGCGCTGCCCTTTCCAGGCTTTAGGAGCAGCCGGTGGAGCGCAGGGAGGCGGCAGCGGCCGCCCCGTCTGGCGGCCTCGCCGTGCTCTCGCCGCCCCGCTGTTCATTCACTCATTCATTCACCGCCGCTCCGCTCATTCATGCCTTGGCTCGGCGTGGCCAGCCGGGCACGGCATCTGCCTGCAGCCTCTCGGGCTCCTCGAGTTTTCCCTCCCCACGCCGGCCCCGGTTCGCCGGGATTTCCACGGGGAGTTTTCCTCGGGGCTCAGCCCGAGCCCGGAGCGCTGCGAGGCGGCTCCGGCGGAGGCTCCAGCGCGGGGCTGCGAGGGGACAGGGCTGTTATTTCAGCAAACAAACTCCCCGTGAACGCTGTGCATTAGCAATGAGGGGTCGCAGCCAGGAAAATATTACCTTTCCCTTTGAGTGCTGACTGTGGAGGAAATTCTCACATTTACAGCTCCGGCGAGCCCGACGCTCATGGAAAAGAGGGGGCGGCTTTGATTTCGCTCCCCTTGTCGGGTCGATAACTTTGCGGCCCCCCCACCTCGCCTTGGACCCCCCCCTCCCTTCCCCTCCCCGCTCTCCGGGGGACTCGGCCACCGGTGGAGGCTCCGGCGGCTCGCGGCTCCCTCCTGGAATCCTGGTTTAATTGGATTTTCCCGGAGGCCTGGCGTGTGGCGCTGCGTGTGCGTCCTGCCCCGTGTGTGTGTGTGTGTGTGGAGGTTAACAAAAACCAAACAAACAGCACTTTTTTTTTTCCCCCCCTCCGGTGCTCTCCGGGAGGGATGCGGCGGGAATGCCGATGAAAGCGCGTGCTGTGGGAAAGGGACATTCCTGGCATTGCTGAGCTCCTCGTGCAACGCGTGGGCCCGGGCCCAAATTGGAGGAATTGGAGGAAGGAGCCGTGAGCGTCGGGGACCTGGGGAGGCCCGTTGCTGCTCAGTGTTTACTCGCAGAGCTTAAATTAATACTGTCTGCTGACATCAGGCGTTCTTTTTCTCCTCCGATTCCCAAGGAGACGGGCCGGGTGCGAGCGCAGCCGCTGCCTACGTGCATGGCTCTCCTCCCCGCCTGAGCCCTGCTCTGAGTTCAGCCAGATCTCACAGGGATCCCAAAAGCTGCAGAATAATTAGTTTTCACTGATCTGATATCTGTTAAAAAGGCTGAGGATGGGTGGGAGGAATCAATGCCTGTGTTTGTGTGTGTGGGGGCACAACCACGTCAGACAGGAGGATCCCTGAGGGAACAGATGTTTTAGTAGCACCCAGATCATGGGATGAATATCACTGGGATCTGGGAGACGTGGAGCTGTGGGAAAACCAGCTCTGTCCCCTGTGGTTTTAACTCCCATCTCTGGTTTGCTCCGTTGTTGCCCATTGCTTGCGAGGGTTGTGGTGAGGGAGGATCTCTGGTGGATCAGGGCAGCTGATGTTTCTCCATGGACCCTTTCTGGCAGATTTTTTTTTTTTTTGGAGAATTGGTGATTCTGGATGACGAGTTCTGGCTGATGACAAGTCTTCTCAGCACAGGACACTTTTTGTGGCTCCTAAATTACACTAAAACAACCTGTTGGGTCGCTGCAAAAACCCTCTCCTCCCTCCCTCCCGCAGGTTTTCTCCAAAATCTTCAGCCACGAGGCGCTGGAGAGTTACCTCCCCAAGATCCAGCTGGTGATCAAGGACACCCTGCGTGCCTGGAGCAGCAACCCCGAGTGCATCAACGTGTACCACGAGGCGCAGAAGCTGACGTTCCGCATGGCCATCCGCGTCCTGCTGGGCTTCCGCATCCCCGACGAGGAGCTCGGCCGCCTCTTCGAGGTCTACCAGCAGTTCGTGGAGAACGTCTTCTCCTTGCCCGTGGACCTGCCCTTCAGCGGCTACAGGAGGGTGAGAGGCTGGGGCTGGGCCCTGCACCGGTCTGGGGCTAACGGGGTGGTGGCTCAGCCGCACCTCTCCAGGTTCTCCTCACCCTCTGACCTCTGGGCATGAGTGCGTTTTGGGTTACAAATCCTGGTTTGGTGGAGAAGCGAGGGAAAGATCCATCCATCGAGCAGTTTGTTGCAGAACACGACCAGGGCTTGCCCAGATTTAATGTGTATTTTTTCCTCACTCTGCAATTTTCCTGTATTCTTGTCATTTTTGGGACCCTTCTTGTTTTAATGCTCCCCTGTCCCTGCAGCAAAACAGGTCAGCAGACCTTCTAATTCCAAGAACCATTCTAGTTTTTTGATGAATGATGCAGAATGCAAACATACCAAAAACCATAGAAGAAACACCCCAAACCCTATTTTTTTTTTCCCATGGGGAATTTTGGCAACAGAAATTCGGGGGTGGGGGTGGGTGTTCAAATTTATTTTTGTGATATCACTGCAATTTGGGCTTTTTTCATCCATATCATTTGACCACGTGGATGAGCCCGAGCACTTGCAGCCCTGAAGCCCTTTGCAGGAGCAGGTTAACCCCCAGTGCAGCTGCACTTCCACAGGAATTGCTTTACTGAGACCAGGTGATAAAACTCCTTTGGGAAAGACCATTATGCTCCTGGGAAGAGGATTCTTCGGGGTGAATTGGCTTCCCTTTGAGAGCCGATTTTCCCAGGGGCTGCCCCGCATGCCGGGGCGAGCCGGGGGCCTGTGAACTGGTGCAGCACTGGGGCTCCCACAGCAGACCTGCCGTTTACACCTAGGTGCTGATTGCTCCTGCCTGTAATCTCGGCTCCTGGGGCTTCGCTCCTCCTGCCCAGGGAAACGACTCCAGCGTCTTTATGCCCCTCTTTGAGCACCTGCAATCGCGGTTTTATTGCTCGGCCGGGTTGTCCTGGGGATGGTGGTGGTGCTGGTGTCTGATGGTTTCCTGCCCCGCAGGGAATCCGGGCACGGGAGACGCTGCAGAAGGGGCTGGAAAAGGCCATCCAGGAGAAACTGCAGAACACGCAGGGCAAGGACTACGCTGATGCCTTGGACATCCTGATAGAGAGCGGGAAAGAGCACGGCAAGGAGTTAACCATGCAGGAGCTGAAGGTGAAGGTCTCCCCGTGGGCACCTTGCTGCGCTCAGGGGCTCCCCAGAGAGCAAGGCTGAGCTGCTCCAGGGAGGAATTTTTGGGGCAGACCTGGGATGATCAGGGGATCGCAGTGGGTTGGTGGAGCTGCAGGTGAATCCTGGTCTGGTGGATTATGGTGCCAACAAACCAGTTATGCTCAGCCCTTCCTAGGAAGCATTTCATAGAATCACTGAGGGATCACTAAGGTTGCAAAAGACCTCCAAGGTCATCAAGTCCAACCTGTGACCAAACACCCCCATCCCCACTAAACCAATACCATGAACTGGTTTGGCTTTTGAACACTTCCAGGGATGGTGACTCCACCACTGCCCTGGGCAGCCTGTTCCAGTGCTTGCCCACTCTTCCAGTGAAGAAATTTTTCCTGATACCCAGCCTGAACCTCTCCTGGCACAACTGAAGCTTTCAGCCCTGAGCAGCTTCATCCCTTGCCCCATCCACTTCCACAATGTCACCTTTGCAGGCCACATGAGCCCTCAGCAGGTCTGTTACCTTCAGCAGGGCCATGGCATCAGTTGTCCATCATGTGCTGTCAAGATCCATCCCCAGGGCTTTTTCTCCAATCTCTCTGGTCCTCACCATCCTCTGAGGCTCTGTGGGAAGCTTCCCATGGTGGTTTTCCCAGTCCTAGCCTACACAAGGAGCGATCCTGCAGTTAGACATGACCAAGTTATGGCTGCCTCTGGATCCCTGGAAGTGTCCAAGGCTGGGTTGGATGGGGCTTGGAGCAATATAGGCTAGTGGAAGGTGTCCCTGCCCATGGCAGGGGTTGGAATGAGATGATCTTTAAGGTCCTTTCCTACCCAAACCATTTATGGTTCAGTGCCCAGGCTGGAGAGCTGCTGGGTATTAAAATGCCCCGTGGCAGCCTCTGTGCCTGTCCCTGACGTTCCACGGATCTGTCCATGCCCTGGCTCTTACCCTGGCTCTTCCCTTGTCTCCCAGGATGGCACCCTGGAGCTGATCTTCGCCGCCTACGCCACCACGGCCAGCGCCAGCACCTCCCTGATCATGCAGCTCCTCAAACACCCCCGAGTGCTGGAGAAGCTGCGGGAGGAGCTGAGGAGCAAAGGGATCCTCCACAACGGCTGCATCTGCGAGGGCTCCCTGCGGCTGGACAACATCAGCAGCCTCCACTACCTGGACTGTGTCATCAAGGAGGTGCTTCGGCTCTTCACCCCCATCTCCGGGGGGTACCGCACGGTGCTGCAGACCTTCGAGCTGGATGTGAGTGCTGAGGGAGAGCAGGGGCAGGACTGAGCTCTGCTCTGGGTTGGGGGGGACCAGGGACAGCCCCCAGGGAATGGCTGGAGCTGTGCCAGGGCAGGCTCAGGGTGGATCTCAGCACAAGGTTCTTCCCCCAGAGGGTGGTTGGCACTGCCCAGGCTCCCCAGGGCAGTGGGCACAGCCCCAAGGCTGCCAGAGCTCCAGGAGGGTTGGGATGATCCTCTGGGGCACAGGGTGGGACTCTTGGGGCTGGGCCTGTGCAGGGCTGAGGGTTGGATTGGATGGTCCTTGGGGGTCCCTCCCAGCTCAGCACATTCTGGGATTCTCCAGGGTGCAGCTGCACTGTGAGCTCCCCAAACCAGCCTGTTACTTGTCAGTGGAAATCTTGCTTGAGCCTGGCTTAGCTGAGACCTCAGAGAGGATAAATTAGGCCCTGCTGGTGATGGGAGATGGATTTGCCCTGGATTCCTCAGGAATCTGGCGCATGGCAGGGAAGGAATGCACTGGAGCTGTCGAAGAGGAGACGGGTGTGAGGCTTCAAAGCTCGACCCGTGACAGCGTTGGACGCCAAAATCCGAGCTGGGGTGTGACAAGGGAAAGGTTTACTGCAAAGGGCATCTCCAGGCTGCTGGATGACGGGGGGATTACTCACCACCATGGCTGGAATTTCCTACCAGCAAAACAAAATCTTCAGGCCGGGCTCATCGCTGTAAATCCTCCCTAACGCAGCGATTTGAGTCAGAAACCTCTCAGAGCGCTCAGGGGATGATAAATCCGCCCCATTTCTCATCGCCCAGGCCCTGACGTGCGTGCTGGGTGCGTGGGGCTGACAGGCAGCGGCGTGTGGGATGCTCTGGGATGCTCTGGGAGGGCTGGTTGGCACGTGGGGATGTGGGAGAAGCTGCTTCCCTCTGCTCGGAGGCACCCTGGGGTTCCTGGGAGGAGACTCCTGCCAGTGACCACAAAGCACTAAATAGCAGTAGATCATCCTGTGGGTCCCTGGGATAGAGGGAGGAGTAAATCCAGGATTCCCATCCCACCTCCAAGCCTTTTGTGCTGTGCTGTGCTCTCTGGTTTTCCTTTAAATCTGCGCCACGTTGGAGTAATGAACCCAAAGGAAATGGGAATAAGCAGGGAAAACTGGGGAGGCTCTGGCACAGGTTCCCAATATCCAACCTGAACCTCTCCTGGCACAACTGAAGCTTTCAGCCCTGACCAGCTTTATCCCTTGCCCCATCCACTTCCACAGTGCCTCCTTTGCAGGATGTGGGTTGTTACCTGCAGCAGGGCTGTGGCATAAATTGTCCATCATGTGGTGTCAGGAGCCATTCCCAGGGCTTTTCCTCCTGCCTTTCTGCTCCTCACCATCCTCTGAGGCTCTGTGGGAAGCTTCCCATGGTGGCTGTCTGAGTCCAAGGAGTGATCTTGCAGTTAGATGTGACCAAGCTGTGGCTGCCCCTGGATCCCTGGAAGTGTCCCAGGCCAGGTTGGACGGGGCTTGGAGCAACCTGGGCTAGTGGAAGGTGTCCCTGCCCATGGCAGGGGGTGGAACTGGATGATCTTTGAGGTCCCTTCCAACCCAAACCATTCCCATCATTCTGTGCCTGATCTGTACAAAAGCAAAGTGCCTTTATCTTGTCCTCTCTGTTGACGTTAGGGTTTGACCCCCTCTGCTTTTCTCTCCACCCTTTCCCGCCTCTCCCCAGGGTTTCCAGATCCCCAAAGGCTGGAGTGTGATGTACAGCATCCGGGACACCCACGACACCGCCCCGGTCTTCAAGGACGTGGACGTGTTCGACCCCGAGCGCTTCGAGCAGGGCCGGAGCGAAGACAAGGACGGCAGGTTCCACTACCTCCCCTTCGGAGGAGGAGTACGGACCTGTCTGGGGAAGCACCTGGCCAAGCTTTTCCTCAAGACCCTGGCCATCGAGCTGGCCAGCACCAGCCGCTTCGAGCTCGCCACCAGGACTTTCCCCAAAATCACCCTGGTGCCCGTGATCCACCCGGTGGACGGACTCAAGGTCAAGTTCTTCGGACTGGATTCCAACCAGAACGAGATCCTGGCGGGGACGGACGCCATGCTGGGGGCCACCGTGTAGAGCCCACGCCGGCGGCGCCAGGGACGGAGGGGTGGGGTTGGGGGCGAGGGGGTGGACAGGAGGGGAGGAGAGAAGGGCCGAGGAGCTTCTCCAGGACATGGAGCCTGCGTGGATCGGGACGTTTCCCCCCTCCCCGCCGGGGGAGCTGCCCAAAGCCTTCTGCTCTCCCCGCGGGGGGCGCGGAGAAGGCTCCGGGGTGTCGCGGAGCGCCTCGTTCCGTCCGGGAAGGAGGAGGATCCGCGGAGACCCGAGTCGAGCCGGGATGTCTGACCGTACACAGTATCTAAATATTATAAATATATATATATAAATATCTATAAAACACTTCTGCTGCGAGGAGGAGCGCTGGCAAGGGCCCGACTGCGGGGAAGGCTTTGGAAATTGGCCGGAGGTCGGAGGTCTGGTGTCCCCGGGGCGGCTCCCAGGCGACCTCTGATCTTTATTTTAACAGTGTTAAATTAGCTGGTGATAACAGTGTTTCTTTGGGGTTTTTTTTGATTTTTTTTTGTTTTGGTTTTGTTTTGTTCCTTTGTTTGGTTGTGTTGTTTGTTCCAGGGCCCTGGAGGCTTTCCTTGGTGAGGGGGAGACAAGCAATGCCCGTTCCCATCCCCAATCCCGCTGCTGCCGGGGCAGGCTGGGAAGGAGTGGGGGCTGTGAAGCTGTTATTTCAGACCCAAAAACCCTGTGGTGTCTTGTCCAGGGCTGGACAAGTCGTCCCTCTGAGGCCTTGGGCATATCTGCATTTTGCAAGATGCGTTCTTGGGGGGTCTGGATAGGGGGAGAATGTCCTTTTGTTTCTTTGTTTTTCCTCGCTGAGTTTCCTGCTGCTGCTACACGGCCTGTGTGCCCCGTTCCCTCTGGCACAGCCCCTCCCCAGCCGGGCACAGGCATCTCTTTTTGGGGGGCATCTTGGTGTCTCTGCTCTCCCTGGAGGTGAAGGCACCAGCCTCGGGATCGTGGGGTCCCTCTGACCCGCGAGCTTGTCCCGTGCCTGGGCCGTGGTTGGTGATGGCAGAGCTCAGCAGGGAGGAGAGGGCTCCGTGTCTGCCCCATGCCACCGCTATCCCAGAGGCACAAGAGAGCGCCCACCGAGAGGTATCTTGGCCTTTGGTTTGCTCGGTGGGTTTATCTGAGTTCCATTTTTTGCATTCCAGAACCTTCTGGGCCGAACTTGAGGTGGGGGGGGGGTTTTGTGCTGAAAGGGAGGAAAAGCCCCCAGAGTGTCTCAGAGGGTGTTTGGTTCCCAACAGAGCCAAGCACCAGGCTGGGAGATCCCTCTGTGACTTGAGGCAGCTCTGTCCAGCCCCACTCCCATCCCATCCCATCCCATCCCATCCCTCCCTCCCAGGTGGAAAGGACGACACGAGGACCGTGGCCGAGACCTCTCCTAACCGTGATGGGAAGAGGTCCCGCCCTTGGGTGTGGGCAGCTTGGCTTTCAGCTCCAGAGGTGTCCAGAGAAGTCCGAGGGGTTTGGAATAAGGAAGGGGAAGGGGCAGGTGTGGTTTGCCGGGTTGCTTTGCGGGTTGTGCCTCTTGGGAAGGTCGAGGGAAGTGTGAAAGGAGTGGTGGGGAGGCTGCCCTTGCCAGCCCTTGGTGGGGGCCAGGAGGAGGGAGGCAGGTTTGGAGCCGAGGGAAGCGCTTGAGGTCGGGTTGCCGTCAGCCAAGCTGCCAAATTCCCCACCCCCCACAACCCCAGGAGCATCCCAGTGGATCATTTCCACTCACCACGGGGTGCTCAGCTTGATTTAACCTGAAATAACCCCCACCCCAATCTTCCAGGAGATGCCATTCCCGTGCAGAGCTTGCCTTCCGAGTGGCAACACAGCCAACCCAAAAGCAAGGCCTCGGGAGCCTCTGTGTGCACCACATCCCTGAGGAAGAGGCTCAGGGGGGCTTTTCCAGGCTGGAAATTCGGACTGGAACGCCACTAGCTGAGATTTCAGGCGTTTCCTCGTCCCTGACCGAGAGAAAACTTTCCCGGTGTTAAAAGGAGGGTTGATTGCAACCAAAATCCCAAAGGGAAACACGAACCTAAATCCAGTGGGAAGGAATGGGGGGGGGGGAGTCTCCCAGGGACAAACATTTAGGGAGAGGGAATGGCAATGCAGGTGTCCATGGTCTTTGGGGACGATGAGCTCTGGCAGGACTTGGGGACGATGAGGGAAGGAGGTGGATGGGCCGGAGGGTGAAACCCCCTCACCAGCTGCTCTCCAGGATCCCCCATTTCCACCTGAGACCTGCGCTCGGGATAGAGGAGGCTGGGAAAGGGGAAAGCTGGAGAAAGGCAACGGGCAACAAGCTTAGAAGGTCCTGGGTAAAGCTACAGAGAACAAAAACCCCTGGGGTAGACTTTTCCAGAAGGGCTCGGTCCCTCCCGCTTGTTCTGGTGGGGAGCCGGTGAAAGGCTTGGCTGAAATTTTACTTTTAACTTCCAAGGTCATTACAAAGTGAAAACCAAACATGCTTTTGAGTGAGTGGTTGATTGGAGAGCGGTAATGTAAGATGCAGACATCCATTATATATATATATATATATATATTTACATCATGTGTGTATATATAATGTTTTGTGTGGGTGAGTATTTAATCCGGGCAGAAGTTAAGTCAGGCTTTGTTTTTCCATTCCTAACTAATATAACTTGACTTTAAAAAAAAAAAAAAAAAAGAAATTAAAAAAAAAAAAGTTGCTGCAGTGGGTTTGCAGAATAAAGCACTTTGAATCTCAGAATTGTTTGTTTTTGGGTTTGTTTTTTTTTTTTTCTTAGCACAGTCCAATTTGCTATAATATTATTTTATACACAAATTTGATTTTTTTTTTTTGGTCTGTCTTTATAAACTATTATAAGTACTATTTTTGTTATAATTCAAAATAGATATTTAGTATAAAGTTTTGCTGTTAAATATTTGTTATTTAGTAAAATATGATTTTTTTTTTCCTCTTTATTGTAAACATTGTCTGGGGGAGGGGAGGGAAAAATATTAATATGTTTTATCACATTTGTTTTTAATATTAAGGAGGGGGAAAAAAAAAGAAAAAAGCACTTGTGGGGTTTTTTTGTTATGAAATCGGTGCCGTGTGAACATGTGTTTCAGTCATGTGGTTTTTAATATGTATATAATATTATGTGTTGCATATTAAAATGAATGTTGTGTATTTTGTGATCTTAAAATAAATAAATAAATAAATAAAAAACCCACCAAAATAACTAATCCATGTGGCTATTTATTATAGACTCCCACAATAGAAAGAGTTGGATCTCCAAAGTGGGGTTTTTTGTTGTTGTTGTTGTTTCACATCCATCTGCATCTTCCTTTGGAAGGGCTTGTGGCCTCCTGGTTTGGGAGGCTCGGGGGGAACAGGCCCATGCTGGGAATTGGGAAGGTGGGATTTTGGCATCCGTCGGTCTCCCTGAGCGAGGTGGATCCTCACTGGCTGATGCTGGACCCAAATCCAGGAAATCCCACTTAAAAATAAGAACAAACTTGTTTTGTGGGGAGGACGGTCCAAGCAAGACCACAGGAGCACAGGGGACGCTGAACTGGAAGCGTATCCCACGAGGATCATCACATCCAGCTCCTGGCCCTGCACAGGACCGTCCCCAAGGTGTCCAGGGATGTGGATCTCCATCCCTGGGGATGCTCAGAGCCTGCCTGGACGTGGCCCTGAGCAACCTGCCCGAGGTGTCCCAGCTCTGAGGTCCATTCCCGGGGTTTGGGGAGCTCCAGGATAGCCGCTCTCTGCCCTCCCATCATCTCCCATTTGGGCTTCTCCAGCCAACCAGCCCCTCGGCAAAGCTGTGTCCCGGAGTTTTCTGCGAGCAGGGACCGCTCCGAGCTTTTCAACCCAACAAAATTTCAGGGAATTTTGGCCCTGGGAGGTGGGAGGAAGAGCTTTGTGTGAGTTGTGACAGGACAAGTTACCGGTGGGAGCTTCAGCTGCAGCTGCTCCAGAGCGGAGACAGGGTGGACTGGGAGTGCTTGGAGTAATTAGGTAATTACTGAAGTAATTGGCTTCTGCCTCCTTCCCCTTTTCCCTATAAATGGAGGGATAGAGGGCTGGCTGTGATGGGAGTGTTGGAGGACAGGATGTTGCCGCTCTGCAAACCCTTCCTGTGATGACATCCAAAGGCAAGTGAGGGCTGGAGGAATTAATAGAACTTTGCTCTTGGCTGGAAAATATGACCATGCAACCCAAGGCTGTGTCCCTTTGGAGCAGCCAGAGGATCCGAGGCTCCTTTCCCTCCCTCTGGAGCTTTGTGGCCGTGCTCTGTTCCTCGTCCTGGGCTTGTCCTGCCAGCAGTGATTTTACCGTGTCCATCACCCAAAACCCACCGTGTGCTCGTGCCCCTCCGTGTCCCTGTCACCTCCCCAGCCTCCCCTCGAGCTGAAAGGGGATGAGGTGTCACCTCCTCGCCCTCCCCTCCCCTCCCAGCCCTTTGTAATTCCCTGTTTCATGGCGGGGAAGGTCATTTCCTTTCGGGATTTGCTCCCCCCTCCCTTCGCTTCCATTTCTTTGCGATTTATTCGTGATTTATGGCTCTCAGCACCACCCCTGGAGGGGGATGATGTGGCTCTCTGGGCTCCAACAGAAGCAGGGAGCTTCTTTTTGGTTTTTTTTTGGTTTTTTTTTTTTGGGTGGCCTCGTGGGAGGTCACTGGGACTCCGTGTTCTTTCCACTCCGAGTCTCACGTTACTCACTTTGTTTTAACTGTAGCTTGGAACCCTTGGAAAGTTTTCTTTTTAAAGGTTGTGTGTGAGAGCACAGAAAAGGTGTGTGAGTGTGTGTGTGTGTTTTTGAATAAATGGCCTTTCTTTTCCCTCTTTTTTTTTTTCCCCTCCTCTCCGAACACGGAATGGAATTTTATATCTTGAAAAAAAAAAACACGGAGCGGCCTCGTGGCCCCTTGGTCTGCCTGAAATCTTTAATCTCCCGAGCTCAAAGCCCAGGCCCTTCCAAGGGGGATGCTGAGGCAGAGCTGAGTTAAAAGGAACTGGTCAAAATGTTGAGGTGTCATTG